ATATATGTTTTGGGTACTTCATATGTTGCGATACACTTTTAAAGGCTTTAAAGACCCAAGTGATTTTATAGTATAGCCTGAGCTAGTGCGTCGCCTTGGGCAATTCCAATTATATATTTTTTCTTGTTGGGGACATCCGTTTTATATGCTATTGTGGTTATCACAATCTGACCTACTGCATATCATAATTATCACCCCTAGAACCGAGTACGTGGTATAAAATCAAACATTTCCCATCTACATTTATTCACAGTGTGCAGTCTTTTTCCTATATCACCACCATAGCGTACCTTTTGTGGGCATGTATATGTTGATTATAAACCCCCGTCTATTATTTAAATCATTAGAGCCCGTGATAAGGGATCAATATATAGTTAGGTACGCTGACTGCACACTTTATGAAGATCATTTCACAACATTAGGGGGAGATAAGAGCTTAAATTTAATAGAATGCCGAGAAATTCTATGGATGATTGATGGAAAAGATCTTCAATATTTGAATCCACGTACTAAGTAGACTGAACTAGAAGTTCAGAAGATAGCTAACATGCCAATATATACACTAAAGAGTGACTAGGTCCCATATATCTTCCCCAACTTGGACCGTATGTATCTACCAATGCTCCTTGACGCCATAAGCGTGGACACATGTTGGTATAAAGACAAGAATCTGCAGAAAGCTAAATCTAGTAGAAAATTTTGTCACCCTTGAAATCTCTTAAAGAAGCATGTCCTGAAGACATTTGTCCAGAAGGCGAAAACCCCCAGTAAAATTGTAGGTGCACCCAAAATCATAATACTGGGGAGGCGGAACGACCAGATAAAAATATCTTTGGGAAATGTCTAGAGTCTGGTTGAATTAGAAGTTGCCATGAATTTTCTATATATGGGAGAAATTTATGAAAAATGTTATAGTTGTCGACAACATAATTGCCTTTACGAATTGCTCTTGTTATATGATATTCTGGATCCAGAGATAGGCACCAGTAGTGCCCTAGATTTTTTTTTATTTTTTTTTTATGTATAAAAGAGCAATTAAGGCATGTACAGTTCAGCTCGCTAAAACTATATTCTCTTTCTAACATACACGTACACCATTTAATATTAACACTGAAGGTTACAAATGGGTGTTTGCACAAAAGAGAAATAAAAATAATATGGTGGTATAATATAAAGCGAGACTGGTAGCTTAATGGTTTATGGAGAGACCCTGAATTGATTTTGATCAAATGTTGTCTCCCACACCAAATGGCATTACGTTTCACAACTTAACATTATTGGCAGTGAATTATAAATTTAGATATGCAGTTGATGAACGTCAAGACCGCAAACTTATGGGTCATTAGATGCTAATATTTATTTGTAAATCCCTGATGGATTCAACACTTTTGAAATGAGGAAAGTGAAAAATGGCGACTTGTATCATTAAACTACTAAAGTCTTTATATGACTTGAATATTATTGACTGAGTGTTTTCCTCCCGAAGAAGGAATGTACAAATAATATGTACCATTATGTGTTCATTAAAGAATTGTTAATGGAGTTATTTATTTATCATCTTAGTCGATATTGATGGTTTAAATATCAATGAAACACATAGAGAGCTTGGTGATATCAGCTCATGCCGAAAGACGGAGTTTTGAAATAAAAGACTTGGAAATCCAAGTATTGTCTCGACCTGAAGATCGGGCTTCTTCTTGAAGAAGTTTTATACACCAGTTAGCCTACTTGAAAAATGTCATGAAGATGTTTTATATGGATAAGTATTATTTACTTATCACACAAACGGTTGTCCAATAATATCTTGAAGTAGATAAAGGACCATTTAGACTCGAAGATAATAATGAGGATATTTAGGGACTGGAAGTCCATTACTTTATTCCTATTGGAGCACTATTATTGAACTAGAAGTTCCATAATCGCATCAAACCTGATATTGAATTTGCGATGAAATTGCTAGCAACATTTAGTGCTTCCCCCTACAATGAAAATTGGAATGCTATTTAACATATCCTCCAACACCTTCGAGGTACAAAGATTTTGACATTTATGTAAGAAACCAATATGTGGTTTTGATGGGCTACTTGGCACAGGCTCTTTTATTTGATCCCTATGATGCCAAGTCCAAAAACTGGTTATGTTATATTTTTACCCACACTGTCCCATATGAGGACAAATAAGATTCTGTTGCACAAGCAAGTAATAGGTTTGTTAAGGGGAACCTTACAAAACATATTGCACCTAAATCATTCTACACACATGAACTCTAGAAGAGTGGTAAAATTCTTGTTGAGAAAGTTTGCCCCAGTGAACAATCTAGCAGATATGTTCACTAAGTCTCTGCCTACATCCACTTATGAGTAATATGTTCATAAAATTGGGATGCGTAGGCTTAGAAGATTGCTGTCTTCAAGGGGAGCGACAACCCCTAGCTACACTGTAATGGACAATCTAGAAGACTTTTAAAATCCTGAAGATTATGCTCTGAAAGCATATGGTTGTACTCTTTTTCCCTTAGCTAAGTTTTTTCCCACAGGGTTTTTTTATGTATGGTTTTTAATGAGGCAATCGATGTTGGTGCACTTGAGTGGATAGTCCTGAAGACCCTTGAAATCTTGAAGATTATATCCGGAAGGCTTATAGTTGTACTCATTTCCTTAGCTAAGTTTTTCCCACTCGGTTTTCTTAGGCTAAGATTTTTAATGAGGCAACCGGTGCAACACATGGTTTAACATACTTCGTGTACTCTTTTCCTCATCTAGGTTTTTTCCACTGGGTTTTTTGGCGAGATTTTTAACGAGACATGAGTTAATTATTTAATGACCAAGGGGGAGTGTTATAAATATTTCAATTAGTGGCCATTAATCTTGAGACTCTTCATTTTCCTTCTACTTAATATCTTATTTATGATAATGATGTGAAAGGTTGTAATGGTCCCTATAAATTGAGGGTGAAGGCTTAATGAAAAGATGGTCTCATGTGATTGTGTTCTTCCTCTCCCATTTACTTATCTATTCCATATACTCATATACATACAATCTCCAAACATTACCGTGCAAACACCTCTCGAGAGCTAAGCTAATTGATATGCAAATTTACAATAGTAAAACATTTAATAAAGCTTAATTGAAAACAAAATTTTATATGAAAATTAATTAATATCTAATGAATTGTTACCACAAATTAAAGTCAATATATACTTAAAATGGAAAATGATAATCAAATTCTAAGAGTAATTAAACCATTATAATTGTGAGAATAATGGAAAATAAGGAAACAAATTCTGCGTGATAAATGAAAAAATTTCTTGGAAATTCTGTGTAATTTTATACGGAAATAATAATTTATTAATTATTATTTACAAAAATAATAATATTTCAAATATTGATTTTACATCAATAATAATAATAATAATTTGAATTCTACACATGCAAAATACTGATTTTGGGTAATAGTAATTTTTGAAGATTTCATTTTCAATTTATTTGCGTAAATATGGATTCCTTAATTTATTTGCGTAAAGATGGATTCCTTAATTTATTTGCGTAAAGATGGATTCCTTTTCCTATTTATACACTTCGGTTTTGTTTGGCAATCCGCGGTTAGCGGTTAGAGGTTAACGGATAGCGAATTGTGTTAGAGGGTTTGACCAGCGAATTGCACTAGCGGTTTGTAAAAAGATGTTTGGTAAATTTAGCTTTTTACTATTAGCGATTAATTAAATGTAAAAAGACATATAAGAACATTCATATTATTATTATTATTGTTGTTGTTGGTGTTGTTGTTGTCGTCGTTGTTGTTGTTTTTATTATTATTATGCAATAATAAAATAAAATTTATAATAATATATACTAATACTAATAACAATAACAATAACAATAACAATAACAATAACAATAATAATAATAATAATAATAATAATAATAAATAAATAAATAAATAAATAATAATAATAATAGTACAAAGAAAAATAATATATAAAATAAAATAAAAAGAACAAAACGTAACTGATGTGGAATCAACTTTGATCCCACATCGTTACTGAATGAAGATGAGTTCAAAGAGCTCCTCTTAAACGATTTGCTTGCCCATCACTGTTGGGCAAGCATTGATAGCCTAAAAGGCTCCTTCATTTAAGGATCCTTTGGTGACTTCATCAGTTATAAGTTTTTTTTTTTATTTATTATTAAATTCAATATAATACAAGGGCATTTTGGGAAAAGGTTATTCTTTTCCCAAAATGTCAAATTAAAATGCTACAAAATGTAGCATTTTAGTTTTCGGCGGTTTGATACAAATCGTTGCCTCAAACTGCTGAAGAATCAAACGACCTTTTTGATATTTTGTCTCCGATCAAAATGTTAAAATTGCGGATTTGTCAAATAAATAAAAAATATATATATATAATTTTCTTTCATTATATTTAAAATTTGCATATGCAGTAGTTAAGATAACCATTAAATATATTGAGTACTTATTTATTAGAATCCATATGTATACAAAATTAATATTATTATACTGAATAAAAGTTTATACGAAAATTAACTAATATATTAGAACTGAGTTAGAAATTTTGTATATAGAATGTTCACAATTTTTATTTTGTGGGCTTAAGGTAGACCCGAGTTCGAAATTTCACAATTTATATACTGAATATTCACAATTTTTATATTCTAAATATTCACAATTTACGTATTGAATGTTCATGATTTTATATTATATACTAAATGTTTATAATTTACATATGAATGTTTACCATTTGAATTGTGAATATTCAGTAGGTAAATTCTAATTGTGTATTTCGGCTCGAATTCATCTTGCAAGGTGGACCAGGGCCATGGCATAAGTATTGGTTTGATACTCAAAAGATCTTTACCTAAATACTTACCCAGAATCCAGGAACCGAAACCTAATGCGCCGCTTATATAATTGATCCCGTAAAAAACAAATCTAATCTGCCGCATCCACTCCTCTCATCTCCGTTAGCTTCTCAATTCACCATGTACGTACAAATTGATATCATTCGCCTCATACTTTTGAAGTTGAAGGTAGAAGCTCTCATCCGATGTCAATGCGTATGCAAAGAATGGCGTTCCACAATACAAGACCTCCATTTCAAGCTCTCCTACCGCGGAGAAAGGCGAGTGCTGGGGGCCAAGATGTCCGCCAACAGCTTAACCTTTACATCCATAACGAACAGTGGTTTCGACATTGAAACCCTATTCCAGGTCAATCGCTCCTTCCTTGACGCGTTTCGCCCCCTATATCGCTTGTCGTCTGGTGTTTGGTGCTCGTGCAACGGGCTGGTGCTTTTCTCCGTGGGAAAACATATTTTGTTGTGGAACCCCTCCACTCATTGCTGCACAAAAGTGCTTGAGATTCGCAACCCGTTGGTCCCTGGCCACAATATTGTCTCGGGGTTATGTTACGTCTCGTCCACAGGATACAAGACTGTTCTGGTGTTCCGTAATCGCCCTGTCATTGTTGCCAGCCTCAAGAACAAAGAGTGGCGAAATGTGCCGTTTCCTTACAGCCTAGACTGTATCTCCGCGGGAGACGGTGTTAACTTTCGCAACAGACTCCATTGGTGGGCAATTGGTTCTAGGTTTTCCAGTTCATCATGGAGATGTGAAAAGATCATTTATTTTGAGCCGAAGAGCGATGAATTCAAAGAGCTTCCCACCCCTGAACTGCAAGGAGGGAAAGGTGAAATTATTGGCCTTGGCCTGGGAATCATTGATGGCTGTCTCTGTTTATGCATGGCTAGTGAGGCTATAGGAAGAAGAGAAGAGAAACTAGATGTGTGGGTTATGAAGGAATATGGAGTGAAGGAATCGTGGGTCAATCAATTTGTCATCCCTGTCACTGCCTCTCACTTTTTCCGTCTTAATTTTAGTACCATCACTAAATTATACTCTTCCAAATGCAATACCAAAGTGCTGATATGCAGTTGTTACTATGATTACTGGGAAATATTTGTTTTTGATGTGAAGAATAACACACTGGACAAGCTTCATATCTCAGAAGAATTAAAATATTATCGTGGTGCTATATGTTCCTATGTTCAGAGTATTGTTTCGCCACATGAATTTATTTGGACAGATGATCAACACAAACCCTCCGAGAATGATGCTGTGTTGAGGTTTATTTTGAAAATGTTAAATATGTAATAAAAAAATGCTACCTTTAATTTTTTTTTATATTTTTTTCATAATGGAATCTTCAATATTACATTTTAATTTCTAAAGTATTACACATTCTCTTATAAGTAAAAATAATAAATTTTAATTGTTAAGTTATAAGACAGATGTAATTTTTACCAGGTGCAATGACACTTCCAAATTATGCACACATTATTTTGGATAAAAAAAAAAATACACATTCGTTTTTGTAGTCTGGGTAATATGCCAAATGGATGACTAATTCCTTTTTATTTTTCACTCGAAATGGAAGCTTGAGCTCCATTGCCAAGCATACCTAATGAGATCATTCAACATGTACTTTTGCAGTTGCCGATGGAATCTGTAAATAGTAGTGAAGTCTATCATCCAGTGCCCGTGTGGTGTTCATTGATACCAGACTCAGATTTCAAACTCTCAGATAATTGTGAGTTTTGTTATTCTTCACATCATAAACTAATATTTTTCAGGAACCAAGGAACCAGAAACAGTTGCATATCAGCACTTTAGTATTGCATTTGGAAGAGTATAATTTGATGTGACTACACTCACAACTGAATAATTCAAAGGCAAAGGCAGAGGCAGAGATGACAAATTAAACTAACAGACCCACGATTTCTTCACTCCATATTCCTTCATAACTAACACTTTTTTCTCTCCTCTTTCTTCCCCCTCGTGAACCATGCAGAGACATCCATCTATGATTCCCAAGCCAAGAATTGCATAATCAATTAATAAAATTCAAACATAAGCATGATCCAACTACTACAAAATATTATACAACCGTCATCGGATAGAGAAAAAACCAGCTACTACCAAGGCAAGTTCGAGCTCTGATGATCCATTTTACAAAGATGATTTATTATCTTACCTGATGTAATATCTTGTGGATTACTATTACTATTACTATTATTATTGGCCCAATGTAGACTATAAACTACAGCGAGCCAATGACTATCAGGCCCAATGAGCGTATTATCAAATTATTATCAAAATATTCTCTGGTCCAAGTGGATCTCAAGATCTCTAGTCCAATGGATGTATTATCAAAATATTATCAAGGAAGTTCTGTCGATATATACCATGAGTAATACTCAACCAGATATTGCATTTGCAGCAAACAAATTGAATGGGTATACTAGTAATCCTTGTATGAATAAAATTCTTGAAGAAAACCATGAATTCTGGTTTGGTATATTCAAGTGAGTACAATATTCTATTTTAGAATGGTATTTGGATGTAAGTTTCAAACAAAGAAGATTATTCTTCAAGAAGTGGTTGGGTAGTTTTGTTAGGAGGTGGCGTGCAAGCTGCTGGGCTTCTAAGAAGCAAACTTGTATAATTGATTCAACAATGGCTATAAATCCCGATTTGGCATAAATCGATAGCTCATGTATTTGTACATTATATAGTGCTACTACTTTGGCTAAGGCTTATAGCAAAGTGTATAATAGTAAGTCTATGCACATATGTGCGAGACATAGCTATGTGCAGTGACTTATCAAGGAGGGTATTGTAGCACTTGAGTTTGTATGGTACGTCTCGGTTTAATTTGCGGGATCCATTTACTAAATCAATGCCAAGTGATGGGACTTAAGCCCATTGAGTGCGAATAATAATTGATAGAAAGCTCAGTGCTCGTCTAAACTCTAAAGAGACATTAGGCCTAGAGTTCGCTATAGACGAGAATTTTATTTATTATTGGCAAGTACTAACAATTAATCTATTCCAAGGTAAGTGCTTAGTCTTGCATGAAAAGAGGTTGATTTATTTCTTAATAGATCTTTTGACAAAGTGCTTTATGCAAGAGCACGAATTAAAAGATATACTTATATAAACACGAAGTGTGACCACTTCAATCAAGTTTAGTGTGCGTGGTGTCAGGGGTGCGTCTTAAAAAATATAATTAAACCCGTAGTGGGTTGGATTGGATTTGGATTTTATGTAAAATACTCGCCTAGCTAGAACTCCAACATGTGTTTGTATCCATGTCCCGTTGACGTGGCTGTTGAACCCGTTGACGGTCTCGCCTAGGTCACGGTTCGAATCCTCCCATTCCTTGTTCTTTTGCCTTCATCATCACACATTACCAAGGTAAATGAAATAACCTGCATACTTCATCAAATATATTTCAGCCACATCATTTTTTAATATTATTTACTAACATAAAAATTATGATTATATAGCATATAAATGCTAGCATATATAAACTGGAATGTCTTGTGGTTGGACGTAAACCTCTTGCGATGGAAGGATATATTATATATAGTTGTACATATTTAAAAATGGAATGGAAGGATATGGATGTTGTGTACATTGTCTAAACTCGAGGACCTTGAATTGATTAGTGGTGCTGCTAAGGATCGAAAATGGGAACTTAAAGATGCAGGATTTCGTTGAGTTTTTCGTACTTTTAGTCTCACGATTATTGTTGCACTAACAGGATTGTTCCAAGACTTTTAAACAATACAAACTAGGTCCACCACTATCGTTTTTTAGCAAAAATGATCATTCCGGCTCATTTTCCCTCCATTTGTCACCGGAATATAATTTTTTCCTTTAAAGCAAGGTTAAAATAGTCAATTCTTTATTTTATCCCCTGCTGAAATAAACGCCTTTTAGGGCTTGGAGACTTTAGCCCATGCCGGAGAGTACACGAACTCGTCAACGTCGACGTACATGATCCATCTGCAAGAGCTGTTGGCATAGAATGCGCTATATGCGAGAAACTGTCTTCTAGCGCATTTTGCCATAGTCAAAGGTATGTGCTTATATCGAACCCTTGCCAAACCAGCGATTCGACCATCTTTTGAAGATTGTCGTCGCTGTTCATGAGTCACTGGACCTTTTTACCTATTGATCATCCTTATCGAAAGAAGAAAAAAGCTTTAAATGGAAAATCTGAGACTAGAGTAGCCGCTTACCATTAATAGGGGATGTCATTTGTAAAGGAGTCAAAAACATTGATAATGTGTGGGGGAAAACTTCAAAAACAAGTCAGAAGGGTATTTGGAAAAAGAGGTCTATATTCTGGGATTTACCATATTGGGAGCACTTATCTGTTCGACATTGTCTTGATGTAATGCATGTAGAGAAAAATATTTGTGATAGCATTATCGGGACATTGTTGAATATTCAAGGTAAGACGAAAGATAGTATCAAAGCTCGAAAAGATATGGCAGAAATGGAGATAATGGCTCAATTAGCACCACAAGAATCTGGAAAGAGGACATACTTACCTCCAGCTTCTTATACTTTGTCTAAAAAGGAAAAAACAAGGTTTTGTAGCTGTCTAAATGGTATCAAGGTTCCTTCTAACTATTCATCTAACATTAAAAAAATTGTTTCAACGAAGGACCTTAAATTGGTTGGTATGAAATCACATGATTGTCATGTGTTAATGCGACATATGTTACATATTGTTATTAGAGGCATATTACCAAACCATGTTAGACAAGCCATTACAAAGCTTTGTTACTTTTTCAATGCTATTAGTAGTAAAGTTGTTGATCCTGATGTGTTGGATTCTTTGCAAACTGATGTGGTAGTAACTTGGGAAATTAAAATGTGTGGTCCTGTATTCTTGAGGTATATGTATCCATTTGAGAGATACATGGAAATTTTAAAAGGATATGTGGGAAATCGATATCGGCCAGAAGGGAGTATCATTGAAGCTTCTGGCGCTAAAGAAGTCATTGATTTCAATTCTGTACTGATTATTTCGCTAATGTTGAGTCCATTGGTATTCCTAAATCGCGTCATGAAGGAAGACTCACAGGAAAATGTACCATTGGGTTTAAAACACATCTCCCAATTTCAATAATCCGAAATCAAGCACATCATCTCGTACTACAACACCTTTTTTTAGGTTCATCCATACTTGGATCAACACATGTCTATTATAAGGCAACAAAATCCTTCTAAGGGTGAAATATAGGAGGCAAATGAACATCACAATAACACATTTATCAGATGGTTCAATGATACAGTGTGCAAGAGTTATCTCAAGTCCCAAATAATATCAGTGAAACCATTAGGTGGTTAGCGTATGGCCTTAGTATACTTGTGAACACTTATGAAGGATATGATATTAATGGGTATGCGTTTTACACAAAATGTCAAGATAAAAAAAAAAGTATGATGCAAAATAGTGGAGTGACATTAGTAGCACTATCAAGAGAGTATTCTAGTGCTAAAGATACTAACCCGGTAGATATTGTTATGTCGTACTATGGATTCATTGATGAAATTTGGTAACTTGATTATAAGGTGCTTAGGATTCCTCTATTCTGATGTTCTTGGGGTTGAGAACAAACTGGGTGTCCGAGTAGATGATTCGGGTTTCACCTTAGTTGATTTTGGTCGGCCAGGATATCATTGAACCATTTATACTTGCATCTCAAGCTAAATAAGTCTTCTATGTTTATGATCTTATTGATAATAAGTGATCAGTTGTCATACAAGGCAAAATAAGTATTGTTGGTGTTGGTGATGTTGTGGATGAAGAAGAATATGACCAATTTGATGAAACCCCACAATTTTCTATTGGTATTCAACCTGTGGCTTTAGGTGAAGATAACATTGATACTAATTACATGTGTACTGATCATGAAGAAGGATTGTGGATTGACCATTCGATAGTATAATTTCTAAAATATAATCTTCTTACTTGTGGATTGATAATGAAGAAGGATTGTGGATGTTCTAGTGCTGGTGAATGTTTCCCGTGCAATTGTACGGTGAGTAATGTGCGTGAGTTTTGTACTTAAGGTGCGTGAGACTTATGCTTAAGGTGCATGAGTTTTATACTTAAGGTGCGTGGGTGTGTACTTAATGTCAGTAGTTCTTGAAACTTAAGGTGCATGAGCTTTGTGCTTAAGGTGCGTGAGTTTTGTACTTAAGGTGTGTGAGTCTTGTGCTTAAGGTGCGCGAGTCTTTGCTTAAGGTGCATGAGTTTGTGCTAAATGTGAGTAGTTGTTGAAACTTAAGATGTGTGTGTTTTTGTGCTTAAGGTGCGTGAGGGTCGTGCTTAAGATGCGTGAGTTTGTGCTTAATGCGCGTGAATTTGTGTTCTTAAGGTATTTTGTTTGTGTGCTTAATGTGCGTGTGTTGTCTACTTAAAGTGCGTAAGTTTAATGATTAATGTGAGTCCAACCGCAAGATAAGTCCCTCCTGCACCTAATATATATATATATATATATATATATATATATATATATATATATATATATATATATATATATATATATACTATTTGCACACTGAGCACACTGCCAACAATATTTGGGATTAGCTCGTGCACACATTAACATACTTACATGCACATAGTTTCTATTTTAAGCGGGGTTTGTATTTGAAATAATCATATATATATATATATATATATATATATATATATATATATATATATATATATATATATATATATATATATAGAGAGAGAGAGAGAGAGAGAGAGAGAGAGAGAGAGAGGGGGGGGGGGGGGGGGGGGGGGGAAGGTTCAAGTGCGGCAGTGCACTTAGGTCCGACGGTGCGGTTAATTGTAGGCCATTAGATTAGATAAATTCAACGAATCACATTCATCAAGGCTTTTTTGATATTTTCGCGCACGTTCTCACACTACACGAACTGCAAGGTTAAAGTCGTCATTGGGCACCAGAATAGATCAAATCAAAATGTTGTGTGTTTTATGTTCGTTATTGGTGCATTATTAATCTTACTATGGTGTATTTGAGAATTCGTGTTGGTGCCAAGTTCAGGTGCGCCCGCGCCTTCTCATGCGGTCAGAGCGGGTGCATTAATAGTTATACAAATATACATCATCCATGTTAGAAAATGCACACAAAAAAAACATGCACAAATTAGTTACGCATCACCAGAATGCACTATTAGGTATGAATAAAATCATCACACAGTGTTTAGAAAGACACCATTGGTGTGGTGAGTTATATAATGTATTTTTTGGGTATATTGTGTGTTTTTTGGTGTATTTGTGCATTTCATTGTGGTGCTTTTTCCTAACACTATTGTTGTCTTTTGTTAACACTGTTGGTGTATTCTGACAAGCGACCGATATAAATGACCAAAACAATTACCATAACACTCCACTTACCAGGACGCGCTTAAATCTTTAAATCTTCATAAATTAGCCGCTATCGTTCTGCATTTGAGCGCTAATATATATATATATATATATATATATATATATATATATATATATATATATATATATATATATGTGTGTGTGTGTGTGTGTGTGTGTGTGTGTGTGTGTGTGTGTGTGTGTGTGTGCATCTACATATATAGATTTAGGATCATATGAGAACACTTGCTTAGGTGAGAACGTGAGAACAAATCGTGTGCATCCATCTAATTGTCTAGATTAGATTAAGTGTGCGAGAACGCGAATTAAATGTGTGCGAACACGAATTGAACAAACACATTGTGCGTTTGTTCAATTCGCGTTCGCACACATTTAATTCGCGTTCGCACACACTTAATTTAATGTAGACAATTAGATGGATGCACACGATTTGTTCTCACGTTCTCACCTAAGCAAATGTTCTCATATGCTATGATCCTAAATCTATATATATATATAAATATATATATATATATATATATATATATATATATATATATATATATATATATATATATATATATATATATACACACACACACACACACACACACACACACACACATATAGAAGAAAGTTCAAATGCGGCGGTGCGACGGAATTTCAGAATACACCAACAGTGTTAACAACATGCACCAACAGTGTAAGTGAACCACACCATAATGAAATGCAAAAACACACCAAATAATACATAACAGACCTCCAAAAATACACCATATAATTCATCACACCCCAATGGTGTATTTTCGAACATTGTATGGTGTTTTTACTCACACCTGATGGTGTGTTTTTGGTGATTTGTAACTAATATTTGTGTATTTTTGTGGTGCATTTTCCTAACGTTAATGGTGTATATTTGTTGAACCATTGGTGACGCCGCACCTAAGGGAACCGCCGCACCTGAACTCGCCTCTCTCTCTCTCTCTTTATATATATATATATATATATATATATATATATATATATATATATATATATATATATATATATATATATGGTAAGGTACAAATGAGGATACTCCTCCCATGAGAAATGTGGATTATTCTGAGCTTTAGAATCCATAAAATCAACAGTGAGGATTTGAGTATCATATTAATTAATACGAATTGCACATAATTAATGAGGTGTTAACTTTCCATGTAAGACTTGTGTAAGAGGAAAATTTGTCTTCGTGTGCAACTTGCATGCACTAAACTAGTAAATAAGGAGACGACCAAGAATCTCTCTTCCAATATAAGTGCACTTTGACTAATGACCTAGCATTATCTTTTGTAAATATTTACGGTAGAATATTTGCACACAATCTGTCACCATCCACCACTGAAAGTGCACACCCAATATGTGGGGTATGCACAAATACAACAAACATTCTATATCCACTGAGATGCACATTATCACAAGGCATATTTGCACACAAAATATATGCCAGAAGATCACACAACTGAGTCGCATGAAGGGATCTAGAAGTACGTGCACACACCTAGAATCGATAGTGCACATGACAACACCTCTAAAATGCCCACAACGTAACCGGCAAATGAAATGCACACGAATGGAACCTGAAATCATGCAAAAAATCAAAATATAATTAGTCCATTGTTCTCATCCGTATTACCACACGTCTTATTATATTTTGATTTTGAAAATATAAGGTACGGTAGAATTCTACTAAAATTACACCCCTAAAATCATGCATAAAATCAAAGTATAATTATATTTAGATTATAAATACCATCATAATTGCTAAACAGCCCCTACATAAATACTTGTAAACAAATAATCATAAATAACTAAAATAATCAACACCATAGATCAACACAAAATCAAGGGCCAAAATTAGTCCACAGTTCTCATGTGGGAAGTGCTCTTATTTTATCCTTAATATATATATATATATATATATATATATATATATATATATATATATATATATATATATATATATATATATATATTCATGGCTGATCACATAGATCCGATGTCAGAGCATACAAAGCCTATCCCAGTGTGTAAAGCAAGAGGACATACATCTTGCAAGAAAATGAAAATGAAGAAGTTAGAAGATGAGTCTATGGAAATTCAATTCGATGAACATGCACAATAGGCCTATTGGCCCAAATATAAGGAAGTTCGCAAATTACCTTGATATTTTGGTTCATACTCACAAAGACATTAACATTGAAGATTGGACTAAAGCTTCCAGTCAGGTTAAAGAATGGATTTGGCAGGATCTTAAGGTAATAACCATTAATTTAATTTATATATTGATCATTACTTCATTTTATATATGTTAATCTCAAGAAAATTCTAATTATTTGTTAATTTATTGTTGTTATTCAGAAAGAGTTTAATATCATTGATGAAACAAGAAAAAATGTTTTGAAGAATGCTCGATCACGTTGGAAAGATTTCAAAATAAGACTGGTACGTGATTTCATTAACAAAAAGCACTCTAGATATAGCTCTCCCATTGAGTTATATGACTACTTGAATGAACTACGAATGAATGAATTTGTAGAAAATCATCAAATTGAAGAGTTCAAAGTACACCACGTAATTCACTTACTTAATAATCATATTTTATTAGTCTTAATGCTTTATTATTATTAACTATTATTTAATAATAATTTTATTTTTGGGCAAATTAAAAGTCAAAAGTAAAAAGAGTTGCAAGCGCGAAATGAGCATCCCCACTTTTTAGGGTCTACGGGCTGTTTTGAAAAGCAATGAGTGGTTGATATGTGACTCATTGTCTTCACAATCTTTGTGTGCTTCTATTAAATCATCCAAAGCAGCTAATGATCGTAGTTTGGATTTGGTTCGAGCGCGATCTAAAAAATCTGAAGATGGAAGTTATTACAGTTCCAACAAAAAAGAAAAGTGAGTGTTTATGCATACCTAATGGTGTATGCCGCACTGACCGCACGGGAAGACCTGTTCTCACAGGAACCTGGCCATATATATATATATATATATATATATATATATATATATATATATATATATATATATATATATATATATATATATATATATATATATATATATATGTATGTATGTATGTATGTATGTATGTATATTATTGATGAGAATGCTAACTAACATGTCGTTTTTAAATCTTGCTGGTGTTGAAATAGGTTGATAATTCTGAAGAGATAAGTTAAGGGTCAAGGTTAATTCCAAGCAAAAAAACAGAATGATGTATTGTCAGCAGCTCTTGACAACAATGAGCACGGTGGCTATGTGAGAGGTTTGGAGTGCATTTGCCAATATTCGGGATGTGTTTGGTAAACTGGAGAGCATAGGTCGTGGGAAATTAACTGGGGTTGTTTCGGTTGGTGATATTGAAGAGATCACAGAGAAGAGAATGTATGAAAAAGTGGTTGAAAAGATTAGAAAACAAACAATAGAAGAGATGCAATCTAAGTTTGAAACGATGCAATCTCAACTAGAATTTTTTATGAAGAATGCACAACTAAATCCAAAGGTTGGCACACCAACTCAGAGCAGTTGTCATTCTACTGATCCATTAAACAAGCTTCAGGTAATATTGAATATCTTTAATATTTTGTTCAATTTCAATATCTTCTACTTTTATTAAACCTTTTAATTTTTGATTCGTAAGAAAATCCAAAACAAACAAAAATGATAAATTTTGAAAGTGGTAATGAATCTGGTACAGAATTACGACCAACTCTTGATGATGATGATGTGCTGCAGCACATCGGAGATGTATCCAAAAAATTGGTGCGGCGTTATCTAAGAAACTTGCCTTCCTTTTAGAATACATTGATGTGGACCTAGAGGAGGCAATCTTCCATCAGTCATATATATATATATATATATATATATATATATATATATATATATATATATATATATATATATATATATATATATATATATATATATATTTGTGTGTGTGTGTGTGTGTGTGAACTCCATTTACGTGATGTTGCAAGACATTAAAGACTTGTTCACGATGAGATGGCTCGATGTGTCCATAATACAAGTGTTTATAAGATAAGTATTTTTTATCTTTTATCTTTTATAATGTTTCTATATTAAAAAAAATTTCATTAGTCTTTCATTTTTTATTAATTATCTACATTTTTGATGTCTTCACCGGTTGTGCAACCAAATTGGAATTTACTCAATAGGATTTTTCTGCACAAGGACAATTTCAAGAGACAGTGTAGCTTAGAATTCTAATGTGGTCACATCATATCTTATACATGTTAGAATATACACACAATTTGAACACATGTGATAACCTAACCTCATAGTGGAAGCATAATGATCTAGCAAAACTCCAGCCATAGTTGATACTTTGTTGCCTTGCATTGTTGCTTCAAGAACTCCAATGAATTAAAGTTTTGTTGTCTACCATTAATCTCCTGAAAACATGCGTAGAAAAATTAGGTATTAATTTAATTTAGAAGAATACATACCTCTTCGTTTTACATTCGCTAAAACCAGTGACCATCCAAACGCCAACAATCAACCATTGAGATGCAGCGCCAGGCCGGAAGATTGTAGCGGTCATCCATCTTCTAATTTTCATAAAAGAAGCCGCTTTCTGCAAATTCTTTACATCTCCTGCCTCTATGGAAACTTGCGACCCATTGTCTCCTCTTAGCCGGCCAGATGAGGAAACGCAGTAGCAACCACGAATGCAAGTGATGTGTCCGGAAAATTGCACGGGTAACGGCGGGCTGATAAACCCAAGCAGAATCCTATTGGATCCTGCAATCCAACAAAAATTGGCGCAACAAACCAACACCCAACAGTGTTGTATATGTACGAACGAAATCCAAATCAAACAGGGATCGTCGCCACTGCACCCTCCATCTAGCCGAACCAAGTGGTTCACATTCATACGCGCCAGACAAAATTTGGAAAGAGAGAGAGGCGACTGCCATGGGGAGAGAGAGGTTGCTGGAAGGGAAACCGATCGGAGCCAGCATCACCGCTCGCCACCGTCACCCGAGACCCAGCATCCCATTCCTCTGCCTTCTTTCTCATCAAAACCACCATCCCTTATAATATATATTGATATTATATATTAGGGCCTTAATTAAGTGGTGCAAGTTGACTAGGCTTATTAAGTGGTGTGGTTGGACTTAATAACTAGTAGTTGTTAGTCAACCAAACTCTGTGCCTAATATAAACCTGGATTGATGGGATACAGATTTATGGATTAGATAGCACATTCAGTTACGGTACTCAGACCGCTCAGTAGATACCAATACACCATCTAGGGTTCTGAGTCAGGTCTGAGGCAAAACATGGCTGACGGTCTACCGTTAAGAGGCAACACAACAGGAACATCAACTATGGCTGGAGATCAACACGGCTACGCTTCCGCTATCATACGAGGTTAGGTTTCTCGTATACTATGGTACATATAGTTAGACTATTGTATATCTAACATTTGGTATCAGAGCCTTTATCAATCTCTGCCTGGTTGATTGTTTTGCCTAAAAACAATATTAATTTTTCATATACATCAAGATTTTGTATATGATTTTTGGACTGCTGAAAATTATTTTATTAAGCAATTATAATTTTGTTTTTTTATAATCTCAAAATTTTTCTGCCGGGAAACGACTACGAGAATCACCGGTATTTGGACTCCGGACTACATGCGAGATGAACGACGGCCACTGGTTCATGGGCTACAAAGGAATATTGACGGATTCTCCAGTGTGAGCCTTGCTGATGGGAGGAGAATCGCCGGATTTTGTCGCCGGTTACGGTTTCTATTTTTTACGGTAACAACGACGGCGTGACTTGGAGTCACCGGCGGCGGGCGGCGACGGGCAGCGTACGTGGACAACGGTGGAGGATGGTGCTCCGTGCTGCAGGCTGTCGCCGGCGCTGGTCGTTGTTTGTCAAGCTTTGTCCGGCGTTGGCATGCGGCATTCCAGGAAGACACAAAGGTCTGTATCGTAAGCCGTACGCAAATTCCATATTCAAATGCAATATATTTATTTTTTTTTTTACCATATTCATTTGCTTTAGTTAATATATTACATATTAATTAGGATACATGGTAATTATTTAGTCTCAAATTACCTTATTAATATTATCTTAATTAATATTTAATTTGTTTTGGCAAATGGTAAAAATATGATAATTGCTTGTTTTTGGATGATGCCTTATAGTTTCCTTAATTTTGGCATTGAATTTCTTATTAAATTATTATTCACTTTTTGGCAAATATTAAGTTTTAAATTTGCTATTTGAATTTTAATTTAATATTGAGGTTTACATTTAATTGCCTAAAGTATTGCAATTTATTTAAAATATA